ACTCTTCTTATTTATTACTCATGACTCTGTTACATTTCTTGTGAAACATACGATGAGTAACTCTTATATTCGGACACTTTACAATTTTTACTGTGTCGCTTCATAATTTTGCTTATGCTAAATGATTATTACTATATTAATGCATCTGGTTAATACATTGTACACCGACTAAAACTCAGCAATCGAACGTCTGTGGGCCTCTGCGAAATTGGTACCTCATATTTTAAAAATGTTTTTAATTTTGATTTATCTATACTAGCAAACTGACTTTAATTTAGACTTTCTACGTAGGACTTCTAGAAATGAAGGGGAGCCACCAGGCTTGGAAGTTGTCCTGAGAAGGTTATAGACGGAGGTAAGATTGTGAAATGTCGATCAAAAGATATAAGATTACAAAAATTATGGCTGACCGCTTGCAATGTAGAGCTCACCATATTAGTGAAGTAAGTATGCTGACAACATATCTCCTTTGACATTTTCCAATCTTTTGCGAATATTCTTTTTAAAAAAACCAACAACAATTTCAATGCTTGTCATTAATTTTATTAATCTTTCATTAATAGTATTTCAGTTTACTGATAAACACCTTAGACTAATTTTTTTTATTCTAACACAATAAATTGTGCGTTAGAAATAGTGGGTCTCTTCATTCATTTTTTTACAAGACTTTCTGCCTACTTTTCAAAACTTAAAGGACGGAAACTGGTTCCTTTCCTATATCTGGCTTCAGATACATTATATATTGTAGACTCTACGCTTATTATAATAAAAGACTGATGTATTTTTATTTTAAGCTTTATGTTAATTTGCAATTAAAGTATGGTTTGTATGTGTTTTTTACAGATAATTGAAGCATAAGATGATGCGGTGTGCACAACATAAATTAATGGTATTTATATTAATTTATGAATTGAATAAATAAATGTTTATGATTAATAAATTAATATCATATAAAATATATGTATTCGCTTTCATTACTCCCTCTTCTTTTTTTTTCCTTCATTCAAATAAAAAAATCAGGAATCTGTATATTAATCATAAAAGTAAAATTCATTTTTTTTATATTATTTCATGTTACGAGCCAGGGCGATAGCGACGCGCGCGTAAGCCCTGCGAGTGGGGTGGATTCGAGAATTGGAGCAATACGATTAATTAGTATGTATCAATGGAGCCGAAGATTTGAGGATAGAGTAGATAATGCAGACGCCTCTGACGCGAAGTCATGGAGCTGCAGAAATCGGTATCTCCCAGTAAAGGGTAACCGTAGGATAAGGTTCGAACTGTGAGGTTGTTGGAAAAAGTGCAGCGACTCTGGAGCGAAGTCAGATAGCTAGCAGGAGTCGGTATCTCCCAGTAAAGGGTAACCGCAGGATAGGTTAAGTTTAGGAGTTCAGGTTGAGTACACAATGACTAAATCGTATCGTTAAAATGTAACACGCGTCGTTAATAAAGCCTCGGAACTTGTTAATTTAATAGAATAATAACTCGAGCGGTAAAGTTATTATGTTGAGAGGTCGTTACACTGGCTAGGATTGCTAATTTCAAAGTAAGGTTTTATGATTGATCTGACAGACTTTTACGTTTACACAAAGAGTATATATTCAAAAATAACTATACTAATTACAAGTGTGAAGTGTCGTGTTGTCGCGGTTAGTGTATGAAGTTAAAATTACCTAAGTGTTGCGCGGTGTTGATGCACAGGCGATGCGGGGGTCGAAGGTACTTTTATGGCCGTAATAGATTTTAAAACCATCTTCGCGGATCTATATGGTAACAATGATCGAAAGGAACTGAAGCCCGATCTCATTAGAGTGCTACTCTACAGACGATCGATGTATCTCTAACGAGTAACTCTTTCGTACTAGCTCCCGAGCAATGAAAATCGTGGGTTTATATACCCCTAAATGTTGGTGGGGAACCGCCAATGATTTCGGTGAGTGCGGTCAGCAGCTGTGTGTCCTGGGAAAAGGGTAGATTAAAAATTACCCCACGCAACGCGGATCAAAGATGGTATTAAAAGGATGCAGCTGCAGGATGTACTCCAGGGAGACCGAGCTCCAAATTCCAGAAGGGTAGATAAAATAAAGTTAATGAACGCGAGCTTCGAAAAATCGAATAGTTTCTGTACGTAACATCTGCCCCCCAAGATGAAACATCGCGGTTCGCGTGATGCTTTCACCTTAGAAGCGAGCTGTTACGTATGTGTGATAGTGTCGGGTGTAGTGTGGTGCTGTTTTGTGTACTTATCTCATAGGATGTAATGTCGTCAGTGATGTCTAGCACTGGGTAGTTGAAAGTCCGCCAATGTTACGCCATGTCGACGGGTGGTTGTCCCGGTTGACAGTCAAGTAAGAGGTCCGCCACGAGTCCATCCCTGTTTGCGCCAAGGTTTGTGATCCGCCCTCTCCTGTTTTCCATAACGGTGGCTACTACGTTCCTCGGTGCTCCTGGCCAAGATTTGATGCCTCGGATGTTTACTTTAATGGCTTGCCACGTAGGCCACAGAAGCGCGGGGGGGAGGCTCCATACTGCACTGACGGTGCGTTCTTACCCGAAATCTCCCAAGAACACTTGGTAGTTCTTGGCTGTCGCTTCCTTCAGGACTCCGCACTGCCATTTGCCGTTAATGTTCACAGCTACGAGCCTTCCTGGGTTTAGGCTCGCAAGGGTGGGTAAGAGTAGATGCTTCCTTTGCGTTATGAAGTGGTTGAAATTCCTTGCGAATGTCGTCCACTCTTCGCAATTCCGTTCTTCGATTACCCACACCTCGTGGAAGTTGTCCGCCTTAATGAGTAGGTAAGGTATGTCGGTTCTGGAACAGTGGGATCTCAGGGGGGCGCGGGGACGGGGGAAGCGAGAGTCGGGGGCGTTGTGGGTGGGTGGGTGGGGGAAGCGAGGGACGGGGCCTCGTGGGCAGGGGGGGTGACGTTACTTTTGATTGACCACCCCCTTCAAGGCGCTATTTTGTTTTTTAATTGGCTGCCTCCCACCTCTTCGTGTTTTTTAATTGGCTGCTCCTCTTCGTGTTTTTTAATTAGTTAATAAGGCCCTACCTCTGCCCACTTTTGATTGAACACTTTTTCGAGGCGCCATTTAATCGGCTGCCCACACCCCTTTAAAGTGTGCTAATGGATCTATTTCAAAGACACGTGCAAAGATTCGCGAAGTTTCGCGAGTCGTAGACAAATTTAAAAAATGCAAGCTAAACGTTCTGTTTTACCATCTTAATGTCATACGCGATAAAATGCATTCTTTGCAAATGTATTATTCGCGGAAGATTAGATCATCGAAGATCCATACCGACTCACGATCGAACCATGGATACAGGATACTCTATTTCAAGGGCATACGTGAAGGAATGCGCTTTTTCGCGGTGGAATATTCGAGACACCGATATGTTGTTTCATGGAAAAAGTCAAAAACTGCAAGCTAAACGTTCTGTGTTACCCGCACCTGCCGCCAGTGATTCGCGCTTACGAAGAAAGAAATAATATTCAATTGTAAATACATAATTTTATTTGATCACCATGCTGAATTACATTCAACCCTAAGGCTAACAATTCAGAATCAATCAATGAATGACGTTCAAAATTTTCATCTTCGGTAATTGTTCTTACAATATCATTTGGTTTTACATTATGTATTAATTTTACAAAAGTTTCATATCTGTGCTCGACGAGAAACGTAATCTCGGAAAGCCACGTGTACATATGATTGATACAGTATTCGAAATCAAACATTCTACAAATCGTTTTTTCTGTGAGAAACAAGGCATTGACGGAGGTGGAGAGTCTTGCGTCTTTAACATCGTCCACGCAGCGAAACTCAATCGTTATATCGCAAACACGTATCGGATCACTAGACGTCGTTTCAATGTTCCGTAAAATGTCCATCTTTCTCTCCGATAGCTTCCTCCAGGTAAACATTGGAAACTGGATTTCATTGCCGCGGTTATCTTCAATAGCCAATTCCACATCACAGCGACGACCAATTCTTATTCCAATATCTAAATACTTGTACCAAGTAGTCGTCAAAGGATATCTCCGTCCCAAAATACGTACTCCGCGGCCGACATCAATTCGGGCGAATCATTGGTTTCACTGTATAAATGAAAAGAATATGAAAAGAATTATGCATATTTTTGCTACGTTTTACATCGAGGAAACGAACATTTTACCATGTACGCATTTTCTTGGAAACCTGCCGCAATGTGTAATTATCATCTAAAAATTTCTCCCCCGTTCCTCGAGCAACTTCAGCAGCAGTCCACATCGCTGACGTTTAAATTAGTCAAAATCTAACAATCTTCTAACCGCTGTATCGCAAATTTCCGTTTTATATCGAATCCACTCCCCTCCATCACCCCTTATCATGTAAGGAATTTATTGATGATGCAGCATTTCTTTTTTCTGTACCATGACGTCATGTTTATTTCATATTTCAAAAACACTTTCTAGAGCATTTCTACATCAAATAGCGTATATATTTTGAACACATTTTCCATGGCACAAACGCCATCGTGAAACGTACATCTGTAATGTCCTTCACTCATTGTAGATAATTTCGGTATTTCTCTGTCTTCTAAATCCGTTTCAACATCGAAGGCTTCCATTCCAGTTAAATTGTACAACCATCTCTTCTTTTCCGATCGTTTAAGTAGAATTCTGTCAGCGCATTCCAACGCGGTTCGTAACAGGCTGCTCGCCTTCGCGTAGGGTATGTAACCATCCGTCCATCTGATTCCATGGTGTTTTTTCTTTAACCACCAAACACCAAGTTTTTCGTTAGTCGTTAGACGATGCAATCCAAATGGAGGTTCAAATATCCAATGCACTAATTTTTTTCCTTGCGTGAGGACAGCCACTTCTTTTACGATAAAATCATTCGAGTCCATTTTGAAAGAGACTGAACATTCAACAGAGATTTTTACTGTATTAGTTTATTCTGTTTACTACATTCGTCAGAGGGCTGTACTCGACTATGCGATCGTGTATAATCAAGTAGTAAGCAGTTGTATTGAGCGACACGTTATCTTTGCATTCGAAATCTATCTTAACATCAGTCGTGGCACTCTTTAGAGATTCGTTCTGACGCGAGCAATCTATGACTGCAAACGGACCATATGATAAAAACTAACATATCGAGCAGGGGTTCACCGTGTCCGTAATATGATTTTCGAAAGTTTACGTACATATCGTAAAGTGTCGCATACTTATTCTTATCAAAATCCAGATTCAAGTCATATGGATAAGATTTTGAATTTAAATGTAATCGTATGTTTGATAGTTTACAATTGTCAAAGTGATTAAATGTTTTGTCCAATTTGTTCTTTCGAACGGTTTGCATAGCGAATATCACATATCGCGGTTTCTCCAATTGTGTTGCAGTTTTCACAGACCAAGTATGCTTCGTGGTTGTTTGTAATAACGGATATTCATACAGATCCCAGGAGCGGAAACTCATCGAAATCAGTCGACCACTTTCAAGAATAGGTAAGAGCGCCAATTTGTTCAATTCATCCAAACTGACGTGAGGCATCCGCCATTGAACTTTAAACAATTTGAGTACAGGTTTCAAAACGGTAGGACCAATCAGGGCGTTTTCATCGTTTCGCGATCGAATTAAAATCAATTCATGGCGCGCATTGGTTACGATGCGTTTATAATCTTCACAGAATCCGAATAACATACCAAGCGGCACACAAAAATTAAAATCTCCAATTGCAGCATTTTGCTTATGGTAACAGCCAGCATTACCTAACGTTTTACTTTTTTCAATGGACAGAGATACATAATTCTTTAACGCAGTCGTTACTCCCGGATTTTTGCAACGATCTATTTCAACCCCATCCAGTTCATATCGAATTTCATCAAACAGAGAGGCAGCACAGTTGTTATCAAGAACAACATCTTCCTTCACTCCCTCCGGTTTTTTCTCTAGTAGACTCAGTTTTCCCTCGATGTATAAGTGACTCTCACACGGTAGCGTGTACAGATCCTGCTGCTGTATCGGTATCCTTATCTCATCACTGTTTTCGAGTCTAGTATTTGCATATGGATTATAGGTGTGTGTCTGTATGCTGGTTATGCGATTGTCAAAGACAGGTGTACCGTCAATATCCAATGTGTCCGACATTATTGCTTCACGATGAATCCTAATGATTGTTTTTTTTTTTAGCTCCAAGTGTGATTAGAATTTGTTCAATAAGAACATTTGGTAACCTGTGTTAGCATATATGAACAAAAATATTATCACGTAGATGACTTCTCATTAGAATTCACCTGATGTAACATGATAGGACATGTTAGGATAAAAGGTCCTTCGGATATTTTTTGTGTAATCTTCTGGGTATACTTGTATTGTACAGATCTCTTGCAAGTTCGTTGGGGTGAACCCGTTGGGGTTTCCATGTAAGTCGCGAATCTAGATACATTCCTAAATATTTAACTACTTTGGTTTGAGGTAAATGTAATGTGTTTGCATTTATCAGCATTTACTTTTATTTTCCATCTACTTAACCACTCATCGAGTTTTAGGAGGTGTTGTTGTAAAATGGAAGCTGCTGTCTTGGGGTCTTGGTGTATGGTTAAAATAGCTGTATCATCGGCAAATGTAAATAGCGTGGTTTCTTGTGTAGTAGGAATATCGGCAGTGTATAATGTATACAGAATAGGCCCCAAGATACTGCCCTGGGGGACTCCTGCTTCAATAGTGCAGATAACCGAAGTAGAATCCTGAATTTTAACAAAAAATGTTCTGTTTTCTAGATATGATTTGATGAGCTCATAAAATGATATGGGAAAGTTTTGTTTGATTTTATATAAAAGTCCCTCGTGCCACACTTTATCAAATGCTTTCTCTATGCCCAGAAAGAGAGCAATACAATATTTTTTTCTTTAAAGGTAAGAGTAATTTGATTTGTCAATCTATGCACTTGTTCTATTGTAGCATGTTTTTTTCTAAAACGAAATTGATGTAGCGGTATTAAATTTTTATCCGTGATTATCTTTTTGAGCCTGGTTAAAATTATTTTTTCCAGTAACGTGGACATTACGGGAAGTAGCAAGATTGGGCTGTAGGACGTTGGTAGATGTGGTTCTTTTCCGGGTTTAGGCAACATAATTACCTGTGCTAATTTCGGCAAAAGTGGTGGCTTTTTCGAGTGTGCTTTTTGCCCAACTAGAGTCTGCTTTTTTAGTAGGCGGTAAAGAGACCACTGGCCTTTTTAGTCTTTTGCAAGCTTTCCATAGTGAGTAGTTGGTGTCGTCATTAGGAGAGAGGTTTGAAATGTAAGAATAAAACTCTTCGTTACAGTAATTTTGAATTAATTGGTTCACTTCTTTCGTGATTTGGTTTAGTTTTTTTTTTTTTGTTATACGGAGTTTTTTGTTTTTGCCATATATATTTTAATTTTTGTTTAAGTTTTATTTGTTTTATTATGTATTCTGGATATATGTAGAATTTCCTTTTAGTTTCGATTTGTTTGGTGGCTATCCATCCTGCATTTTGGATTTTGTCGGTGAGATCTATTACTGCTGATGCTATTTGTTCAGGAGTTCTTAAAGGTACATTGCAATTTATGTTCCAGGGATTGTTTAAATGTATTCCAATCTATGTTACGATTATGCAAATATGGCGTTGTTTTTGTAAGGATAGATTTATATAGATAGTTTATTAAAATCGGAGAATGATCAGAACTAAGATCTAAGCAAGATTTAATTTTAAAATGCAATTTGTTTAATCCTTTGGTTATTGCGAAGTCCAATAGGTCGAGAGCTTTGTCGTAGGCTGACGGCGAGTATGTAGGTTCGCCAGTGGTCAGTGTGTCTAATGATAGTATCCTTATTGTTTATTCTAGAATTTTACCTTGAGGTGAATTTATTCTAGAACTCCATAAAACGTGTTTAGCGTTATAGTCTCCGCCGGCAATAAATTTGCTCCCTAATGTTTGAAAAAAATTTGAATATTGCTATACTGATATTTTGTGTTTTGGAGGACAGTAAACTGCAGCTAGCGTAATATTTCCATGAACTGTGCTAATAGTGACAGCAGTAGCTTGTATATGCGTGTCAGTGGTATTTTGATGAAGAAAGTGTTTAATATCTTGCTTAATAACTATAGCTGATCCACCGCGTGCTTTGCCGGATGGGTGTTTAGCATCGTAGATATTATAAGATGGAATTTTAACGTAATTCTTAGTACTAAGATGTGTTTCTGCACATCAATTTTATTAACTTGTAGAAAGATTTTTAATTCTTGTAATCGTTGTTGTAGCCCATTTGCGTTCCAAATTGCAATGTTTAATGTAATATCCATTTTATTTGTTAATATTGTTAAGCATGCGTGTGATAAGTTCTATCATTGTGTTAATTTGTTGCGACTGTTGACTTAACAATTTGGTTTATTCAATGAGCATATTTGTTATTAGTTCTGTATTTTCTGTTGAGTCTGATGCTGATTCGTGGTTTGGAAAGTAGGAAACGATTCGTTTAGAATTTCCTGATTTCGAGTTGCTTGAGCATAGGTTTTTGTATGTATAGAAGACTGCTGGGTCGTGATAGTGTTGTTGCTGTTAGCGTTCACTGTGACAGTTTGGTTTTGAAGGTTTGAATTTACTGTAACTATTTTCTGTTTAAGTTTAGGATATAATTTTTGCTGTAATTGATTACGTATTATACAACCTTTATAGCTAGCAGGATGATTTCCCTGGCAATTATAACTGTTAGAGAAATAATTTCAGAGATTGGTATTGCTTCTCTTAACCAAAGGTGGCAACACTGAGAAACAACAGAGTGCGTGCGAGTGCGAATGTCCGGGGAAGACCCTGTTAGAATGTCGGAACGAACGAACGTGCTAAGCGTAAAACAGTAAAGTGTGGTTCGAGAACTGTATGTTATAATCTAAGGACATCGTCTATAATAATCGCAGATAATGAGTGTTCATTTAATGTGTTAAATTAACCACAAACTGAATATATTTTTCTTTATGTTATTTAAGAAACACAAATAACTGCGCACGTTTTATTTCCTTTTCCTCACTGAACCTCATCAATAACATTTTACGTTATCTATTTTTCCTACGAGAGGACAATTCGAAGTCCAGTGTTTACCTGCACATTTAACACACGTGAGAATTCTATTGCAATAGTTTCTGGTATGACCGTAGGCTTGGCAACATGAACATTGTGGGATGTCTCTTTTAGTTCTTGGAGGTTCAAAAGATACTATAGTGTTCAGTAGTCTATCGATCTTGAAAATGTCTTTATTGTTATCGCTCGGTTCGAGTTCTATGAAGAAAAGTGGTAGCGGTTGCTTTGTGTCGTGTTTTATTATATTATTTATCCGTCTTACCTGGTGGCTGAATTTTTTTAGTTCGCTAGTAATTGTACTTGGATTTGTTTTAGGGTGCATTCCTCTTAGTACTACCTTGTAACTTTTGTCTTTCTTTAGTTGATACGTATGAAAATTCGCATTTTTCTCTTTCAGGGATATAACAACTTTGCTGTAGATTTCGGTGGAGTTGACTTGAACTTTGACGTGGTTATCTTTTAACTGTTTTAGTGTGAAGTGTTTCTGCGTCGTTAATCATAAGGTTTGAAGGTGGATTAGTTTTTCGTTTCTTGGGTGCAGCTTGATTTAAACCACTACTCAACGGTTTATCGATATCTATTAAGTTTGAGATGGAATTATTATTTTTATTTTTATTGGCTTGATGTTTGGCAACAGTTTAGTTTTCTCCATTTTTAGTGATTTTTAATCAGAGATTAGTCATTTGTGCCGTTGGGAATCTAAACTTGCCAAGAGGCAAATTTACTCTCTTTCGAAATCGCACTCGCACTCGAAGTAACGTGAACACGTAACACAGAGATAGTTTGACACTTCGCGTAAACACGTCTTATCGCTATGACGATTTAATTGCGACTGAAATGATTGTAGAAAACGCTTGTTTTGCACGCTCAGTGTCTTCTTCTTCGTATTCTTTTGCTCTTTTCCTCTTGGTAGGACAGAACGTGGCTTCAGGGTGTTATCGAGAACCGCGGTTACGCTTGCAACTCCTCCAGCTGTTTCCGCGCAGCCTTGGCATCGTTTACACTTTACAGCTTTAGCTACACCTGCCGCTCCACCGGTCAGCGCTCCTATGGCTGATAAGGTGGGAAGGAGGAACAGGAGGGAACCACCACGCTTTGCTAGGGGTAACACTCGTTTCTTTTTCTTCTTCTTTTCGTTATCGCTCTTCTTTCCCTCTGCTGCGCCCCTTGCTGCGATGCGTTGTCGCGCTTGATCGGCTAAAATTCGATCTGCCTCGTGACGGTCTTCCAAATCTTTACGTTCGAAATACGCGAGATCGTGTTCTCTGCGAGGCTGCATCCAGCGGATTGATACCACGATCACCGCGATTTAAACGTTTTTGCAAATATGTACCCGGCCCACAAAATTGATATCCTGGTATATGAAGTTCGAACGGTAATTTGTTTATCACCTTGTTCAATAGTCCTGCTCCCCTCTTTTTATGCATAGAAAACAGTCTTTGATCATGGGCGGTGGTCCGTCAATGTGTGTACGCTGATCCGGCCGATTGTAATGTAAGAAGCACCTGCGATAAGAGTGAACCTCAGGATCGGCTCTGATATGTCTCGGTAGCTTGTCCCACACGTAATGTATGTCGCGAGCAAAACGATTCAAGAGTACAATCTTTCAAATCAAACAGTGTACCACCATCGATCAGTACAAAAGTCATTGTCACACTAAGCGATACGTTTGTACGGCGCTTGTATAAATACCCGCGACATCATTTTAGCCCCTTTTTATTGTGGCAACAACGTCAACAGCGGTACCAATATGCGTTTCATACGAGAGCCCGTCGAAATTCGAGTAATTTCGGACAGAAGGTTCGACGACACCGTTCAACGCTTTCAGAGACACGGACCGTTGTTACCCGACACTATACGTGGTATAGTCTGCGTTCCCTCGAATTGTGGAAAAACCAACGTTGTTATTAGCTTGCTGGAGAGCCCGAACGGTGTGCGATTCGAAAATGTATACGTGTACTTAAAGTCGTTGCAACAGCCAAAGTATCAATATTTGGAAACACTGCTCTAATCCGTGGAGAACATTAGATATTTGCCTTTCTCAAATAATAACCATGTCGTTCCACCCAACGAAGCTTTACCGAATTCTATATTTATATTTGATGACGTGGCATGTGACAAGCAGGACGTAATAAGAGAGTATTTTTCCATGGATAGACATTCGAATGTAGATTGTCTGTATCTTTGTCAATCGTACGCGAGAATACCGAAACACCTGATTCGCGACAATACCAATTTGCTGATCCTGTTCAAACAGGATAGTATGAATTTACGCTACGTTTATGATGATCATGTAAACATCGATTTAACATTTCAAAAATTTAACGAACTTCGCGGGAAATGTTGGCAACGGAACTATGGGTTTTTGGTTATAGACAAAGGTAGTCCTACGCATCAAGGTCATTATCGACGAGGATTTAACGAGTTTGTCGTACAGTAGATGAGTCAGTTGTTGGGAAAACGTCTCCGATACCACTTTAAACCACTATCGAACCGCTTTGAATCCCTATCGAACCACTTTAAACCACTACTATCGAACCGCTACCGAACCACTACGAAACATAGAGGAGGATCAACAACACGTTCAAAGGAAGGAAAGAACGAAGACAGAGGTTTTAACGAAGGAGATTGCTAAAACGAGTGAAATTAAACGAAAAAAGTATTTAGCTTTAAAGATTGGAAGGATGGATACCGATGCATCGTTGGAAACCAGGTTTCGATCCATCGTTGATCCTTTAAAGCAATTAGTTGAAAATACAAAGTCATCCTCCAACTCGATTCTTCAAATGACGTTGAACATAATATTGCAGAGGAAATAAAACGATTGCAACGCATAGCTAAAAATTATGACAGAAAAAAAATGCGAAGCCAGATGTTTAAAGATGCAGGAAGAAATCATGAACAATGTCCGTAAATTGCAACAGTACGTTGAATTCAATGTGAAACACACATAAATATTACTATTTCAACATAATAAATATATTTACATGCTGTAAACCATGTCAGTCTCTAACTAAGATGTATCCAGAAGAGACCAGTAGGGG